CAGTTGGTGATTCCTGCAGATGTATCCTGCCACGTCTTTTTTAGTATTAGATCAGTATTAACTAGGCAACTGCACTTGTAACCCAATAGGTTGATTTTAGTTTGACACAAGGAAATCTTTAAAATTATTTTACTGTATAAGATACGACTTGACAATGCAGTTTTACTCTATAAAAAAAGCTCATGAGCCTCAGTTGCAACCCACTTTCACAGTCCCTTCTGCTATTGACTCTAATGCACTTAACAATACTCAGACAGTAAGTATCAGATATAATGACACTGTGTATAAAACAAAACAAAAAAAATATTTTTTAAAAAGTAGACATTTACAGGGCTGGGGATTTAGCTCAGTGGTTCTGCTGCCTGCTTCGCAAGCACAAGGACCCTAGTTCGATCCCCAGTACCAAAAAAAAAAAAAAAGAAGACATTTACAAAAAAATTCAGGTTTGTCAAGCGTAGCACTAGGGATATTTTGCGTTAAGATTTCCTTCTAATAAGAGGTATCCTGTTTGTTATGGCATACTATTCAGATGCTACTAAATCTTCTTTATGCTGTATGTCATAATTATATGAATAAAGTTGAGACACACTCACATGTTTTTTGAGGTGCACAATCACCATTCTCTGAAAACCACTGACTTAGCAGGTGCAGTGGACACACAAGCTCCTGAATGACAAGGTATGAGAAAAGGAAAAACCCCAAGACCTGCCAAATTTTTAGCTTTGCACCACAAACCCAAGCTCAGTGACTCTCCACAAAGTATTCCGTCTGTTCTTGCACGTTCTCTCCTTGTCATCACCACATGCACTACACTTCAGATGTCACTAGTGTGCAAGTCCAGACAGGATCCACTGCATCATGCTGGATGATGACACCCACAGGAAGATACAGACAGACTAAAAGGTGCTTTGAACCAAAGCTCCGTACTTTATCTTAGCTGTGTCACAGACCATTCATCTCCAAGATACCAACATGGAAGGTCAGTTCTCAGTACGTGGGCAAACCAAGAGAACGTAGGGGGCTTCAGGGATTGCAGTTAATTGTAACTTATGGAACAAATAACAAAGGCCTACGTCCATTTCTTTTCCCAGAGAGATACAAATTACTGCAAAAGGGAAAGAGCCCTGGACAGACAAGCTTTCAACTCAGCTTTCAACTCTTTAATGTTACGGAAATGGAAGTGGGATTTACATGAGTCTGCAAACCAGCATAGAACAGCAGATGTTTATCTAAGATTGAAGCAGTTAGAAAGGTTTCCAAAATCAACATAAAATAGAACTAAAATGAAAGTGTTTTCTCTTTAGCCTTGCACATGCTTGGTGCCTTGTGTTCAGGCTGCTCAGGCCTGTGTCTGATAACTGAAATCTCTATTCTACCCCCTTGTTACGGAGATGCAAGCCAGAGAGTATGATCAGAGTGGGCACTCCTTATAATATAATAATAAAAATGACCAAATCAAAGCAAACAAGGAAAAAAACCCCAAATCCAGAGTAGTGTCCCCTTTTCCTAGTATTACTTATATTTCTCTTGATTTAGAAGCTCTGAGGAAGCTTATGAACACCAAAAAAAAAAAAATCAAAAAAAAAAAAAAAAAAAAACC